GGGGGGGGGGGCGCAGGGGGGTAAAAATCAGCCAATGACCAGGACACCCACCACCTGGCACCTACCTGACCCTTGGCCAGGCCTTCAAAGCCGTCATGCACCACATACACCGTGTGGCCCTGGGAAATGCCGGAACGCACCGCCGAGCGCACGGCCGCGTTCATGCCAGCCGCCGGGGCCCCCACGTTCAGGATGGCCAGGGAGAACTGGGTCTTCAGAGCAGGGGACAGAGACAAGAGCATGAGCTTGGGCTGGGAGAGATGGCTGACCACACAAAAGTCCACGAGAGGCACCAGCCCCCCCCAGGAGTGACAAGGATCTGTCCTCAGGGCGCCACAAGCTGCTGATGAAGAGCAAAAAGGCTGCAGTGCAGGCCGCGCTCAGAACCTGCAGGCCCGGCCACAGGCATTAGCAGGATGTGGTCACTAGGGGGCTAGCGCCCCTGTGGTGGCAGCAGGGCAGGTTCGGGCCAGAGTCCACTCCTGCCCGAAGCCTCAGCTATCACCCCACACTCAGGGGTCAGCATCCAGCACCTCAAAGTCCTTGGTGAGTGGTACAGAAGCAGAGAGAAAGGCCACATTAAGTACAAAGAAGCAGGTGACACTACTGGGGCTAATTTAAGCTGATCTAGCCAAAATAGTATCACCTCAACCTGGAATCGATGTAAGAAATTACTAACAGGCCCTAGCCAGTTTGGCTCAGTGGATAGAGTGTCGGCCTGAGAAATGAAAGGTCCCAGGTTCTATGCCAGTCAAGGGTACATGCCCAGGTTGTGGGTTCGATCCCCAGTGGGAGGTTTGCAGGAGGCAGCCGATCAATGATTCTCTCTCATCACTGATGTTTCTAACTCTCCCTCTTCCTTCCTCTTTGAAATCAATAAAAATATATATTTAAAAAAACACACACAAATGTATTATAAAAAAAAAAAAAAAGGAAGAAATTACTGACAGGCTATTTCACATCCATCTCCCACACCGTCCTGGGAACGCGGCCTCATGCCCAGTGCTCTGTGGCCACACGTGGCCAGGGTTTCGCCAGGCAGTGTGGCTCCAGTGGCCCTTGTAGTGTCCCGTTGCCCCAGAGGTGGGCACACCCCAGCCAGTTCCGGGAGGGGACTGCAGCCCACTCTGCTGTTTGGGCCTGGAGAGATGGACCGGGAAAGGAGACGCGGAGAGGGTGAGGCGCTCCCCAGGCTAGACACACTCTGCAGGGGTGCCCTCAAATCAGTGACATTAGTGACAACGGCCACAGCATTTACCTACCCCACGGCCTCTGCCGAGAGGCAGCTGCCACTCCCTGTGTCGGGCCCACATGGCCGAGGCTCCCAGGGCAGCAGATCCAGGACCCCACCCTCCAACACCGTGTTAAGGGGACCCTGTCCTTGCCCCTCAGGACTTCAGAAACAAGTCCTGCTGTCATCTCATCTTGAAGGTGAGGGTTGTAGTTGTCTTGAAGGGGCTCGTGAATGTCGGACCCCTTTTCTCCTGAGCTAAGTCTACGGGCCTGACTTAATTTCTTGCAACTGTCTGGAAAGCGACTGGCCACCATAATCCCCAGGTCCGGACACTGGCTGTCTGACATCTGCTGGTCAGTCCAGCAGAGGCTGAGCCTGACCCTCCCAGCTCACAGTTCAGACCCCACACAGGGGGGAGGGGCCCAGCCCAGCTGAGTCAGCTCGGAGCTCTCTGCTCCCCACGGGCAGACCCTGAGCCCGCAGGCTCTGCCGCTCACACCACCTCACCTTCTCCTTGGAGACCTTCTGGTGTGCAAGCAGCTTGTAAATGTTCCAATTGTTCTCAAAGCTCCTGGAACGAAAGCCGGCCATGCACCATGAAGCCCACACCCACAGCCCACTCCCAGCCCCCAGCCACAGCCCATGGTGCACCCCACCTCCTCTCTCTTGTTGCCCCAAACCTGGGCCGGATGCCATCACTGGATGGTGGAAGACCCCATAAAACACCTCTCAGCTAAGCCAGGACCCACATCCAACCTGCCCGGAGTGGGCAGCTCCAGCCCACCCCACAGCCTGTCTGCTTCCCTCCGCAGGGACCACTGAGGCCCCATTGCTAACTGCAGACTGCTCGGCCACACACGCATGGGAGGAAGGGTCTCAGGCGATGCAGAGGCCATCTCTACAGCTCTGATGTCCTGCATGTCAGGGGCTGGCTGTGTGCAAGCTGCCAGGAGTCTGCGTGGCGCGAGCCCACGCGGCCCTCACCTGCCACGGAGCTGGATGGCCTCGTCAAACCTCTTCTCATCCATGGCCTTCTGCACCTCCTTTGTCTTAAAGAAAAGGACAAGCACAGACTGCAGGAGGAGCCTGGAGCAAACACAGCAGCCACCTGACTCGGTGGACCTGTCCCAGGCCTGCCCAGCAGCGGTCACTGCCAAGGCCAGCAATCAGGAAGCTGGCCAAGGCCGAGCGGGCCCTACCTGGCCTGGCCAATGGTCCTCCCTGGCCACCCTCGCTCCTCCTCAGCCCCTGGGGCCCCACCAGGGCCTTGGGAATGGAGGCTGAGGCCCGCCTGGCCCCCAGGCCCACAGCCAACGCCCAGCCTGCTCAGCAGCAGAGCTGGTGGAAATCATGGCAGGAGGTTCTTTCAAGAGAAGCCTCAGGAAGGCCCAGTCTCCCACTCGTGTGCCCTCTCACCCCACCATCCCCTGGCTGCAGGGCCCCCAAACCTGTGGAGCCAGGGCGAGATCCCCACACCCACCCTCTCAGCCTCTCTGTGCTCACCTCCCACTCTCTCTTCCAGTGGCCCCCACTCCAGCCACATCGAACGTCCCCACACCATCTGCCAGAATTTACCCAGTGGCTCCGGCCACCCACTCCTCCTCCCTCCCAACTTTGCCCCAAATGCCTACCCCAACCACCCAGTTTGCAAGGTGGGTCCATGGCCACTGGCTCTGGGAAGCTAAGTAACCTCAGCTTAGCTCCCCCCTCTCTCTCAGGGCTCGTCCCACGCTGGGGACACACTCATCACCCTCCCCAGGACTGCAGGCTTCAGACACCCTGAGGCCCAGGCCCGCTTGGAGGGGATGGGGCGCACACCCAGATGGCCGGGACATGTGACACGTGAGGAGGCGAGGCTGGGAAGGGGCTGTGCGGGCAGCCTGCTGGAGCCCTGAGAGGCCTGGAAGGACAGGTAGCTCTGGGGGGAGGGGAGAGCCAGAGAGACCCGAGGCCGTATACTCACCACCTGCACGCACTCCATGAGGGGCAGCCGCACAGACTGGTTCCCTGACAGGCTGACCACGCAGGCCGGGGTGTCAGGTGTGCCCTCCAGCAGCGCCATCACCGCCTCCATGCCCATCTTGCTGCTCTGAGGGGGAGGAGTGGGGCTCAGGCAGGCGCAGCCCACTCTCAGAGTGCACACACACACACATGCACACGGACACAGGCATGTGCACACACACATGCACACACATGTACAGACTCGTTTGGCCCTTCTCCACTCTGAGGGCCTCACTGAGCCAGCCCCCACACCATGTACAAACCCTCAATTTTCAGAGCTCCCCCCCAAAACACACACTGGCCAAAGCTTCTAGAACAAATGGCGATAGAAACAGTGACTTAGTATGACCACCATTCACAGCAGCCCATCCAGACACCGCTTCACGGAGCCAGGTTTCCAGGGGCCTTTCTACTATGACGAGGTTTGTGATGGGGCTCCTGTATGTCAGGGCTTTCCTGTGTGCGTGTAAGTGATGAACACGGGCTGGTGGGCTGGGCCAGCTAAACCATGTAGGCAGAGGTTCTCAACCTTCCTCATGCCGCGACCCTTTCATACAGTTCCTCATGATGTGGTGACCAATTTCATTGTTACAAATTGAACATAATGAAAGCATAGTGATTCATCACAAAAGCAAGATGTAATTATATATGTGTTTTCCGATTGTCTTAGGCAACCCCTGTGAAAGGGTCGCTCGACCCCCAAAGGGGTCGCGACCCACAGGTTGAGAACCGCTGACGTAGAGCTGTCCTCCGTGGGGACGAATCACAAATGCAGGTCCTGGCCCAGCCAACAGGGACAGACAGGGGTGCAAGAAAGCAAGGCTGAGCTCCGCTCAGTGAGACGGCTGGCTGGTCCCGCCTCCGGCTGCTCCGCAGGCAGGGCCCGGGTCTCTGGATTTCTGCACGACTTGGGAGCAAGTCTCCGCCTGCGCGGGTTTGTGTTAGTAACAGCCACAGAAGGAAGTGCCTGTCCCCCTCAGAGCACCACGCTGTAGCTTGTTCGGGAAGACTGGGGTTCCCTGAGCTCAGGCGTCTCCCCTATAAATCGACAGTGTGCATGCAGGTGTTACCCTGCAGAGCTGGGCTCAGGGACCAGTGAACAATGCCACCGCCGCCCTGGCTGCGAGAACAAACTGTCCTTCGCCTCTGACCCAGGCACCTCGCTCGTGTCTCCCACAGGCTCCCACGAAACGGCAGCCGGCCTGCTCTCCTGCAAGCCGGGGAGGCCCCGGACCCACCCTGGCCATCCCTGCTGCCCAGGCTTGGTGGAGGGTCGGTGCCTGGCCCTTATGTCCCAGCCCCCTCAGGAGACTGTCCTGAGTGTCCCCAAGGCCTCGCATAGAGTGCAGAGGTGCCTGGCCAGGTGGGCAAGGCCGTCTGAGGCCAGTGTCCCCACTGCTCTGTGGGGGACTGAGGAGGCCATGGGCTGCTTAGGGCAGTACAGCGGCCTCAGGTCTCCGAGGGTCAGAGCAGGCAATCCAACCTCATGCCAGCACAGGGGCCCAGCCCTCGCATATAGGCCCGTTACCACCCATGGGGCTGCCCCTGGCCAGGCCCTGTCTCCATCGTCTATGAGATTCCCACTTTGCAGAGGACAAGAAGGGCCCAGCAGTAATCAGAATGACAATAGCACCCTCAGGCCAGAATCCAGCCCCCCTCCCCTCCACCCTCCAATCCCCCCTCTCTCAAGCACCTCAGTGCCCCCCGGATAGGCACTATGCTATGGCGTGGACTCGGAACCACCAGACTCGGACCCCGGAGGACCCTGCGCAGGCCTGGCCCCTGCCACCCTGCCCTCCTCTCCCAGGGACCTGCCACAGCCGTTCCCAGGAGGGCCGGGAGCTGCTGACTCATGGGGCAGGGACGGGCAGGGATGGGCTGGCCCGGAGGCAAGGTCCCCACCCAGGTCTGCGTTTCCCCCTCACAGAGAAACGGAGGGGCCACACCTCGGTCTCACCCATGAGCACCGGCACGGTGAGGAGATGCTCGCACACACCACGCATGCACACCCCCTCCGCCCCCATCACACTGGGACCAGAGCAAAGCCCCACCTACCAGGATGCGGTCGAACGCCGAGGGGGTCCCTCCCCTCTGCACATGGCCCAGCACAGTCACACGCGTGTCGAAGCCCAGCCTCTGGACCACCAGCTGCTCATTGGGAGAGAATAAGGGGGTCCCTGGGTTCGCTGCCCACCTCCACTGTCTCACCACCCACATACCCCAAGCCCTGGTCCCTGCCCCTCCCCACCAGGCCTCAAGGATTTTGGCATGTCAGGGTCCCCAAAGAGCCAGCCCAGGGTTCATGCCCACAGATGTGTTTCTGTGTATGTGCGTTTCTATGTGTGGATGTGTTTCTGGCTACACGAGTGTGTGTTTCTCTATATACATTTCCACGTGAGTGTGTGGGTGTTATTTCCATATACAGGGTGTATGTTTGTGTGTGTGTTTCCATGTGAGTGTCTGGATGTGTTTCCGTGTATGTGTGTTTATGTTACCCGTGTGAGTGTGTGGACATGGAGTCCCAGGCGGGCCTGGCCTGCAGGGAATATGTCTGAATGAAGGCTGCTGCTGGTTGGTGACGGCCAGGCCCAGGCAAGGGAAATGGCCTTCAGCCTTAAGAGCAGAGGTCAGTGAAAAGCAGCCAGTGGGCGGGGACACCCAACAGGTGTGGGGGAAACCTTGGCCTCTGGGGCCAGGGCTTCTTAGGGGGCCCAGGCACCCCACACACACATCTGTTGTCACTGAGGAAGCCCTCCAGGAGGGGAAGGAGCCCAGCAGATGCTTGGGGACAGAGATAAAGGGAGCCCGACCCGCTGAGCCCCACCCCTCTCCCACCCACACGATCCAGGCTGCTCTGGGGCCCCTCCTGCACTCACGTCCTTCACGTAGCGGGAGGTGATGGGCTTCCCATTGCGGTCGATGGCGCCCTCGGCGATGATGATGATGTTCAGCCGGGACCCTCGGCTTCGGGTCTGGGTCAGAGACATCCGGGAGCTTAGCAACCTCAGACACCTGTCCCGACACCCACCCTCCCGGGGGTCCACACTGCAGGGACCACCCCCCGGTGAGGAGCGGCCGACAGGGACCCTGTGGCCCTCCTGGAGGTGGGGAGAAGCAGGTGGGGGGTCCTTGCCACAGGCTTGGGAATTGGGGGGCAGCAAGGGAAGAAAGGGGACGAGGCAAATGGTACAAGTGAGCATGCTGTTCCCACTCACTTGGCCCAGCCTCTCGCACATGCAGTTCTCCCAGCCGTCCTCGGGGGGCGCCTCGGGGATGAACAGCCAGTCGGCCCCAGAGGCCAGGGCGGATACCAGGGCCAGGTACCTGGAGGAGCGGAGGGGCCACCTGCTCAGGGCTGGACCCAGCGCCCCGGCCCCCAGACCCGAGTCCCCTGAGCCTCCCCTCCTTCGTCCTCCCTGCATCCAGCCCCAGAGACAGACTCCCACCCCCCAGCGCACACCCAGTGTTAGATGAGCACCTGCCCTGTGCCAGGGGCCATGGAGGCGCCACACCCTGGCTCCTGCTCCCCGTCACCCCCGCACCCCCAGATGGCAGGACCCCCTTACCCGCAATGCCGCCCCATCACCTCCAGCACAAATGTCCTCTGGTGGCTGTGGGCACCAAACAGAGCGAAAGGTCAGTGTCGAGCCTCTGGGAGCTGAGCTGCACGGCCGGCCTCACAGGCCAGCAGAACCTGCCTCCCTCAAGCCCAGGGGCCAAGCCACACTCCAGCAGCCCAGTCCCCTCAGGAGTGCCCGGCGACACTGGACACCAGAGCAGCAGGACCGACCACTCTCCTTATTCCCATGGTGGTCACGTGTCTGAGCAAAATGTGGCCTTGGGTTCCTGACCCGCCTTCACGCTGGTTTTCACTGACCTCTGCTCCGAGGGCTGAAGGCCATTACCCTTGCCCGGGCCTGGCCGTCACTGGCCAGCGGCAGTCGGATGACCCCCCTGGGGATGTGCCAATCCCCAGGGTCCCTGCTGACCCTGCAGAGGGCGGCCTCGCCCCTCCCAGGAGGACAGGATCCCCAGCCTGCCCGCCTCGCTTGCCCGCCTGGCAGCCTGGCCGGGCCAGTGGGGGCTGCGGGCCTCGCTCACCTCTGGGCGGTGGTGGTGATGGCGTCAATGACCTCCATGATGCGGTGCAGGGCCGAGTCCGTGCCGATGGTCATGTCGGTGCCACAGAAGTCATTGTCAATGGAGCCCACCAGCCCAGCGATGTTCAGGTGGGAGTAGGTCTGAGCCGTGCTCTCTGAGATCTTGCCTGGGGAGGAGCAGCAGAGGCCAGCTGAGGCCCCACTGGCCACGATGGGGGGCAAGAAACCCCACCTCTCACCCCCGTCTACCAGGCAGTGTGGTCCAGGAAGGTGCCCAGGCTCAGCTCCCCCTACCCAGGTCCTGCAGTGGGACTCCCAAGAGGGGAGGGGCCACTGAACCCCTAAAGCTGAGTGTAGACTCATCACCCCGAGCAGGAGACCTCCAGGGCAGTCTTAGAGTGACGGCACCCCACTTCCAGGCTCCACACGAGCGGTACAGACTGAACTCCACGCGGGCTTTCCATCTGGCAACCTTGCAGCTATGTGTCTTGGGTGTTATCAAACGCTAACTCTTACACTTCTGCAAACTATGACAGCGTCCGTAACCCACGTCCGGAATCAATTACAGACAAGACTTGTCCACACAGTGTGGGGTGTCAGCCTGGGACTGCTGTCCACCCTGCCTGGGGGTCCCTGATGCTGGGCTCAAACTCTGACCTCACGACCAGCCAAACCCAGCCGACAGCTTCTGCAGCTGCCCAGGGTCGTCTGACCTTGGGCTGGGCCAGGCCCACTTCTCCGGCCAGCAGCCAGGCAGCGTCTCCCCGCCTCCCCTCGTCCTGCCTATCCCACTGCCACCAGCAGCGAGGCAGGTGCTGAGGCCTCCGAGCTGCCCCCCCCGCTCCCCCCCCGACTCCCCTCCCAGCCGGCTCTGGCCACTGACCCACCTTCCTTCACCAGCTCCTCCAGCAGGCTGCCCCACTCGCTGCGGAAGATGTTGGCGCCCGTGAGGCTGCCATCGCCACCTATGACGCACAAGTTGGTGATGCCGCGATGGACCAGGTTGTAAGCAGCTGCCAGGCGCCCCTCCCGCGTGGTGAAGGCCTTGCAGCGGGCACTGCCGATGATGGTGCCACCCTGTTCAAAGGAGACGGGAGCCTTGACCAACAAGGCAGCAGAAGGGACCTGTACTGGGGGTGTGGGGGGGGGGACGGTGGACTCTGCAGAACTGAGAGGGTGAAGTCCAGGGCCTCCTCCAGAAGCCTGGGCCGGGGTCCCCCTCCCCGGGCTTCCTCCTGGAACATACCAGGAGGAGGAGAATATCCACCTGTCAGTCTTGGGAAGTTCAAAAAGGGTAACCAAGTGAGCAGGCCCCCTGCCCACTGCGCCCACCGACCCATTTGTGGCTCGCGACAATGACTGGCCACTTGAATACGCTGGGTGTCACCAGCTGGCCTGGGGTAAACAGGTGACAAGGCCTGCACCCCTGTCCCAGCTCTGTGGGAGGATGAGGGTCTCCCCACAGAGACAGGATTCCAAAACCACCAGTCCGAGGAGTCCTGGCCCAGCAAGGTGCCCGCCCCTGCCCAGTCAGCTGGAGGGAAACCTGGGCCTTGGTCACGGGGCGGGTCAGAGTGGTGACGAAGGGGAGGCTACTCAGATGCCGCGCCAGGCCTTGTCCAGTGTCCCGTCCTCCCTGCACCCTTAGCTGGAGCTGAGAGTGAACTCTTGTAGTGGAGGCGCCCAGGGCCATTGCCACTCCACAACCCACGGCAGCCAGATGACTTGGTGACCCTGAGCCAGCCCCTGGGGGACGGGGACGCTTCTGTGCATGGTCTCTGTGTGCGTCTGCGTGTCTATCTCTCCGTGTGTCTGTGCGCACACAGGCGCTCACGGGTGGGAAGGGCTCACAGAGGCCTTACCAGCTGGATGATGTTAGAGACGCTGAGCCAGTTGGCTGGCTTGATGTTCTCGCCTCCTTCCACGAGGCCCTCGTAGCCCTGCAACCGAGGAGCACAGGCATGAGACAGGCACCCACAGCAGCCGGACAGCACCCTTGTCCACGAGCAGGGGGCTGGGTACCCGGCCAACACCCCATCCGGCAGGAAGCAGGCTCCTGGGTCCTGACCACGAGGCCCCAGAGCCTTGGATGATGAAGCTGGGAGGTGGCCAACAGTCAAGGGGAGAGGCCAGGGCACCAGGTGGGCCTCTCGGAATCTCTGCAGGGCTGAGAAGCTACTTGTTACAGAGTGTGACTCGCAGGGCAATGTGCTCCCGTCACGGGTGGCCCACCTGGTGAGTGCCCAGCAGCGCTCTGCCCTTCCAAGACCACCCCTCCCGGAGGGACCCGCTGTCCTGCCTCCTCTGGGCATCGATTAGATGTAGAAGTGACAGCAGCGTCTGCTCTGTGTGTCTGGCTCTCACTCAACCTGGCGTCTCCGAGGCCCCGCATCGCCGTGCACAGCCGTGTCTCAGCTCGCTCTGTGCCCCAGGCCACTGTGTGTGCCCCAGTCACGGTCCGCCCACCGATGACGGACATGGGGAAGGTCTCCAACTTAGGGCTATTAGAAATGAGGATGCACACATCTCCTGCGAGAGGGATCCTGAGAGCTGGGTGCCTGAGCAGCTACCAGAGGCTCAGGTGGCGCCCGCTGTGCAGTGCTGACCTCCTCACCCGCCAGCCATGCAGCCGGGCTTCTGGGTGCTCCAGCCCTCAGTGCCGGGCGTGCTAGTCTTCATCCCGGGGTCTGCATGTGGGTCCCTGCAGTTGGTTGTGTGTTAAATTTCCCTAGTGACCACTTCCTGTTTTTCTTTTTTAAAAAAATGTTTTTATTGATTTTTAGAGAAAGAGGGAGAGGGAGAGGGAGAGAGAAATAGAAACATTTATAAAAGAGAAACATCAATTGGCTGCCTCCTACATGCCCCCTACTAGGGATCAAGCCTGCAATCCAGGCATGTGCCCTGATTGGGAATCGAACCAGTGACCTCTTGGTGCATGAGTCAAGGGCCGATGCTCAACTACTGAGCCACACCGGCCAGGCCACTTGCTGTGTGTCTATGACATAAGCCACTGATCGTCTGGACCACGCCTGTGAGAAGTGCTTGGTCAGGTGCCTTGTCAGTTTTCTGTCACATGACTACTCCTTCCTTATCAGTAGGAGTTCTAGATACAGTCTGGATAGAGGGCAGGGGCATTTTATAAGTGGTGAAAAGACAGGGTACCACCATGCTGAGATGAGCAGGGCCGCCTCCTCCAGGCAGTCCTCCAGTCCCTCAACTGAAGTAGTAGATGAGCCACTGCCCCTGCTTGGGGCTAGAGCCCAGCTTGGCTCTAGGCATCTACCTCCCCTCTGCCTCCTCCCTTTAGCCGTCCCACCCTTGTTCTGTCACCTATGCCTATAGGGTCCTGGGCAGCGAGGCCCTGGAGGCAGTCTGGGGCAAATGCTCCCACCCCTGTGGGTGGAGGTGCAGCACTACACAGGAAAGAGGGCAGGGAAGTCCCAGGGAGGAATGTTTCTTCAACTCAGGACATAACAGGTTCCCTCACCAGCCCCACAGCCCAGCTGGAGTTGGCAGGGCAGGTGCCCATTCTTCCAGGAACCAAAATTAGGAGAAGGTTCGCAGGGACACAGGAGGAGTGAGACCCCCAGGCTGGGGACCACCAAGCTACCTTCCATGGCTTAGGCCAGCTATGTCCTTCCCTTCCTTCCCTTCCTTCCCTCCCCAACCCTTTGGTCAGGAATTTGGCCACAAGGATATGAGCCAGCCCTGCCACCACCAGCCCAGCACAGAAAAACAGGAAAATGACCTGAAAAGCCACAGCAGGCATGGCCTGGAGCAAGCAGCTACAAAACAGGCAGGTCTCAGTCTGCAAAACCCAGGGCCAGGCACAGAGCCCAAGCACACTGCCAGCCTGGCCCCTGGCCACTGCGCACCAGCTCGAATCCGAGTCCCACACACGCAGCTCTGCGGGGGCTGAGACAGCGGCCATCACTTGTGGTTCCCAGGCCTCGGAATCAGGCTGGGAACGGGACTTGTACCACCAGCTTTCCTGGCTCTGCACCTTGCAGACGGCAGACCGTGGGCTTCCCAGCCTCCAAACCATGCGCCTGGGCTAAGACGGCGTGAACAACAGGAACTGAGCAGGCAGCTCCGGATGGTTAGCCTGGGCGACCCTCAGCATGGCCGTCTCAGAGCAGCCGGCTGCCCCCACAACATCCATTTTAAGAGACATGGGAGGAGGTTTCAGGCGTCTTTTGGGGTGGCCCTGTAAGCTCCAGAATGCCACTTCTACTGAATTCAGAAGGCAGAGGACAGAGATGACAGCTTCCGGTCAAGATGGCAGCAAAGGCAAATGGGGTCCTCGCCTCCTCCCACAACATCATCAAAATTACAACCAAACGACAGAGCCACCATCATTCAGAACTGCCTGAAACCCAGCTGAACAGAAGTCCTACAATTAAGGATATAGAGAAAAAGCCACATCAAGACTGGTAGGAGGGGTGGAGACGCTGAATGCTGGTCCCACACCCAGATGTGGAGGCTGAAAATCAGGAGGGTGCCCTGGCTGGCTTGCTCAGTAGTTAGAGCAGCAGCTCAAAAGGCACCAGTACATACGGGGGATGGGGGCGAGGGGACTGAATTGTCCATCCAGGGCTGGACAAAGGCAGCTTTCTCCACGACAAAAGTGCTGGCAGAAGCCATTGTTCCTTTGCTAAGCCCCCTGACCACAGAGCCAGCAGACAGGCAGCATATCTGAGTCTCCATCAACCTGGTTAACATTGTTCACCCACCCTGGTGATTCCCTGTGACCCCACCCCACCCAACTTTCGGGCCCCCTGAAGTCACTTCCAGTGACTTTTCCATACAAACGGCCTGTCTTGGCTCATGCTTCAGATTTCCTAAAATCTCTCAAACAAGCAGCATTTGGCCTAGGCATACCTCTTGCTAAGTGGCCCCAGGCTAGGCACTAGCTGCAGGCAGCCTTGGTGCACAGTTGGCCTCTCCCAAGCACCTCCAAGCCCAGCACAAGTAGCAGCCGTCTGCAGATTATTTTGTAACTCAAGCTGGGGGTTCCCAAGCAGGACATGGGCAGTGGCTGACTTGGCCTGGCCTCCCAGGCAGCCCCGAGCTAGCGCACCCAGTGGACAGCTTCAGACCACATCAAAGCACCACCCAACCACCTCCACAGGTGCAGACTCAGCAGACAATAATATTGTGATAACTACGTATGGTGTCAGATGGGTCACTTTACCAGGGTGGTCATTTCATAGCTCATATAAATGTCTAATCACTCCTGCTCTACACCTGGAACTAATATAATATTGTATGTCAATTGCAATTGAACATTTTTTTAAGAAATTATTTACAAAGAAGTCTCACAGACACAACCCTCCTCTTCTAGCCTTGGAACCTTCTAAAATGTCTCTCACCCAGCCAACGTGGCTCAGTGGTTGAGCATCGACCTATGAACCAGAGGTCATGATTCGATTCCAGTCAGGGCACATGCCCAGGTTGTGGGTTCAATCCCGGGTGGGACATGCAGGAGGCAGCTGATCAATGATTCTCTCTCATCATTGATGTTTCTATCTCTCTATCCCTCTCCCTTCCTCTCTGAAATCAATAAAAATATTTTTAAAATAAAATGTCTCTGCACACCTCCACCCACTTAGTGTCACCTCTCCCTTCCCCACCCCCAGGGCAGGCTCCCAGGCAGCCCAGAGCTGGCTGCAGGCCAAGTGCACTGCTGGCAGCTCTCCTGTGTCAACTTTGAGCCCACGGGTCCAGTCTGGACTCCTGGGTGAGTAAAAGCCATTCCTGTTCACGAGTCCTTCTCTCTGTCGGCTGTGAAAAGTGCTTTAACTCACAACACTGCATTAGCTTTGTGACCTAACATCCCCACAAAGAATGAATTGGTACCCTCACTTAACAGAAGAAGAAACTGAGGGTCAAGGAGATAAAGGAACACACCTGTCACAGGTAGGCAACCTCAGGCAGGGCTTGGACCCACCTGTCCCTGTCTGAAGGCCACAACCCAAGACCCCTCCCGAGAGCCTCCCCTGTCCCCCAGAAGACTCTAGACCAGCCGTGGGCAAACTACGGCCCGCGGGCCGGATCCGGCCCATTTGAAATGAATAAAACTATTCATACCCTTTTATGTAATGATGTTTACTTTGAATTTATATTAGTTCACACAAACACTCCATCCATGCTTTTGTTCCGGCCCGCCGGTCCAGTTTAAGAACTCATTGTGGCCCTCGAGTCAAAAAGTTTGCCCACCCCTGCTCTAGACCATCATCAGGGCATGGGCCCCACCGGCCCAGCAGCTGAGACTCTGAGGAGACCTGCTTCCCAAAGATAACCTGGGGCTTTGCAGGGTCCCAGCCCCCAAGTCCTGGGCTGAGGGTCGGAGCCCTGCAGGAGGCAGGGGTCTACAAATTACTGTTCATTCATTCATGCAGCCGGAGCTGGGTGTGGCCCGGCCCAACCTGGGGCCAGGGGAAAGGGCAGGGACAGCCCACAGGGGAAGAGGAAGGGATCGGGAGAGCAGAGAGGCTGGGGTTCGCTTCTGGTTGCCTAAAAAGTGAAAACAAAATAACACGGCGCCTCCAGAAAACCACAAGACAATGGAGGAATTCCTCCGTGTGTGCCTGTGAGCACGTCAGCCCCAATGTGACACAGGCATTGGGGGCGGGGGCATGAGGCAAAGGGGGCACCAATTTGGTGAGAACAACAGAGAACACTACTCTGCCACTTGTCCAAGGGGGCTGTTTGCTGTTGTTACCTGGGTGATCCACACAGCGTTTGTGTGTAAGGGGTACGGGGGTGCTGGAGGGAGGAGGGTGGCCGGGCTGGAGGATGACAGGTGGCGGCTGAGCTCCCGGCCTCACAGGAGGAGGACAACAGCTTTATGCCCTCCTATCTCCCGGGACATGGCCCACGTCACAAGCACCCAGACTGGGGGGAAGGCTCCTCGCCCCACCCCAGAGCAGGGGCCGGCTCCCTCCCATTCTGCCTCTTCATCACCCTCCCCTCCCTCTAGGCCTGAGCCTCAAGTTGAACAAGTGACCACTGTGAGACAGGGAGGTGTCCTCCACCCCCCCCTCCCACTCCCCGCTGAACACAAAGCCCACCAGTGTGGGGCCTGGACCCCGCCCGGCCCTACCTCGTAGATGAGGAAGACCTTGGCTCCCACGTAGATGCCCATTCGCGTCACGGCCCTGACAGCGGCATTCATACCTGGGAGGGAGTCGGGGGGGACACGGTCAGTGGAGATGCATGGGTGTCAGGGCCCGGGACCACCCTCTTCAGGGGGCGCCGAGCTGGAGTGGGAGGTCCAGCCCCAGGTCTCAGGGTGAACACGTCATTGTAGCTGTGGAGCACTGGGAAATAAGCTGCCCAGGGTTAAGCCAGGAAATTCCCCATCGGGCCTCACGCAGCCTGAGTGGGGGCACCAGGTGTGTGCAAACACCCATCCCTTCAGGCCTCATCCAGCCCCTGGTCCCCCGCAGCCTCACTATGACATGACCCGGGGGGCAGCTCAGGAGCACCCTAAGCATCAGCTCCTGCCCCAGGCCCTGAGTGTGGGCTCCGTGAAACAGGAAGAGGGCAGTGACCCCAGGGCATGGGGTGCTGGGGGGTCGGCAGCCTCAGGCAGTGTGGCTGAGCAGGCTGGCACTCCGGCCCTCCTGCCCGCACACACACAGGGGAGCTGCCGGGCTGGGGTGGCCACCCCTCCTCCCTGTCCCCACAGCCTCGCCCTTGTGCCTAGCATCTCCCCTGCAGATTAGGTCCCTGGAAAGGGACATTCATGTTCTGGAGGAGGCAGCACGTGGGGTGCTCCGAGCCCAGAGGAGCCTCAGCCCCCTTCCCTCACAGCCGGTTCCGAGACCCACAGAGGGCAGAGGTGTCCACCTGCGGCCCCTCCACAAGATGCAGCCTGAACGAAGCCCTCATGGGAGGCCCCTCACGAGACACAGAGCACCAGGAGTGGGCCTGCGTGACGGTCCCCCTTCCATGCTTTGAGGGCACTTTGGGGCCTTGCCCAGGGGACAGGCCTCCAGGTGGCCAGACAGCCAGGACTGTAGCTGCTACAGGCCAGGAGCATGCCAGGTCAGCTACCCCAGCCAGTGGCCCCAGTGTGGGCATCCTGAGTGAGCCCAGCCCCCACACTGGCCAAAACCTTCTTTACCGAGAGTCCATGCTGCAAGACACCTGTGGCTCTGAAAAAAGAGGCAGGCAGGGACCCTATGTCTTCAGAGGGAAAGAAAGAATGACGGCCACCACCCTGACCGGTGTGGTTCAGTGGACAGTGTTGGCCCACAGACCGAAGGGTATCGGGTTCAATTCCTGGTCAACGGCGGGTACCTGGGTGGCAGGTTCCATCCCCTGCCCCATCAGGGCCCACACTAGAGGCAGCCAATCGACGTGTCTCTCTCACATAGATGTTTCTCCCCTCCCTCCCTTTCTTCCACTCTCTCTAAAAATTAATGGGAAAAACATTCTCAGGAGGGAATTAACAACAACAAAAAGGAATGGTCACCGCCCAGGGTCCCGCCCTCTGACTCTGCGTCCAGGGCCAGATCACAGACCGGTGCTTGGTCTCCCCAAGGACCTCCCTGCTCCCCCACAACTCCCTCCTCCCCGCCTTTGTCCCTGGCACACCGAGCCAGAGCACATGGGCTCAGCCTGTGGTCTGACCCTAAGCTTTCAAAAGCCCTTTCCCTGGAGGCCTATGCAAATGCCCGTGTGGCCAGGCCCCCCAGGCTCCCCCCAGCCTTCCTGGTCCCTGAAGTCATGGAGGCTGGTGGTGCCCATCTGCTCGGGCATCCTGCAGGGGCACCATGGCTTCCAGGGTCCCAACACCGTGTGTGGTCACATGGTGACTCCCAACCTTTACCCTGTCACACCCCTCTCCCTGGTCTCCAGGTTTCCAGGCCGGGAGGCAGGGCCCAGGGGAGCGAGTAGGAATGCGACAACGTGAGGGGGCCTCACAGCATGTCAGGAGGACCCAGTGGACAGGCAGGGCCCCTGCAAGCTCAGGACTCCAGGCTCCTACATCAGCAGAAAGGCACGTGCACCATCCCGTCTCCAGATGAGAAGCTCGGGTCTCCAGGGGAGGGTGGGACCAACCCCTCCAGGGGCACAGTGAGCCACCCTGTGTCCACACACAGCAAAGGCTCTCACGGCCCCACATCCAGTGCCCAGGGCTCCTGGCGTGGGGCACCCAGACACCAGGGAAGGCAGACCACAGAGACCACACTCGCAGCTTCCACACTGGGGTGAAGTCAGAGAACCCCAATTCTGAAGAAACTGTGAATGTCTTATGTGCCCCAAATGCATGGAACTAGGATAGCAGAGGCTGAAGTTGGGGGCAGGAGCCAGGGGGTATAGCTGGGGTGCCCCAGGAACCTGGATCAGAGAAGTTGTAGCTGAGGTCGGGGGGTTCAAGGGCTGCAGGCTCCCCTGGCCCCCTGCCTTCTCGGGTGGGGTGGGGGGCACTGAAGAAGAAGAGACAGCAGTAAAGCTTCCTGCCCTCGCACCCAACCCCGCCCCAGGGGGCCCTGAGCCGGCAGTAGGTGGTTCACTCTAGGCTATCTGCCTCTCCCAGCCACCTCGCTGGTGAGGCCACTGTGTGCCCATTGCAGGCTCAAGGTCCAAGCCCCACCTCTGCCAGGCAGGAGGGGGCCAGCAGCCGAACAGGGTGAGGAGAGCGGGTGGGGGTGGGAGTCAGTGGCCAGGGACTCAGCCCACCGTCCAACCCAGATGTCTTCCCAGTCGCCCACCCTTGACTTGGCCAGCAGCTGGACAGGCCAGCCTGGGACCAACGCCATCTCACTGGCCAGCCCAGCAGACACAAGGGAGCCCAGCGTCAGGGTAACATTTTCAGCCCTCAGAGGTGAAAACCAGACAATGTTAAATGAAAACTCTTGACTGTCAGCCCAGAACCGGATGCCATGGAGACGGCAGCCCGAGGGCATGGATTATCTGGTACACCTCACTGTCCGTAGCCTTCTTAAAAGGCATTTTAAATGATCCTTTAATTTGGTTTTTGTCCTCAAAATAAGCCCTCGGCCAGTGAGAAGAGTGGGCAGGGGAGTAGCTGGGTGTACTGGCTGAAGGGGCATGCGACCCACACCCCACGCCCCACGCCCCTCCGAGAGGGCCAGGGAGGCGCATCCCATGATTTCCTGTTGGAGGAAGTCCACGATGTAACCAGACTGACTTGGTCCCAGTCAGCTCCCAGTGTACAAGAGCGCGATCATAAGACGCTGCCGGGCTCAGCAGGACACTACATGGCCAGGTGACAGGTGACATGTAGACACAGAGCCTGGCTGGGACATACGAGATGGGAGGGGACTCGGGGAGCGAAATCTTCACCTGCAAGTACAGGACATCAATGTCCTGCTGGTCACCAAAAGAGGCAGGTCCTGACTGTTCTTTAGGGGCTGGGAAGGGGTGCCCCACAGGGGGCGACCGAGGGGTGGAAGGGTGGACAAGCCGGGCTATTTTACAAGTCTCTAGTTCCTTCTGCAAAGTCCTCTGATATCTTTGAACAACGGACACTTCCTGTGGTCAAAAGGAGAGAGAGGCCCCTGAGCAGGCAGAGGACGCCACTTCCAGGCTGACTGGAAGGAACCTGCCAGGTGGCCTGTCTTGCCTCCTCCTCCCTGTTTACAAAAGGGGAAACCGAGGCCCAAGGGAAGTGCTTGGGCCGGGCCACAGGGCTGGTCAACGTTGGCTCTACCAAGACCCAGCTCTGGCCCTTCGCTCCGTGAGGTTGGCTGGTTTGCACACATTCTGACCGATGCAGACTGTAGCACCTGGGAGGTAAGTTTCATCCACCCCAGCTGCTGTCAGCCCAGCGCCCACGAGGGAGGCCACACAGAGGACAAAGGAGGACAGACCGAGAGGGCGTACACGGGACCCAGGAAGGCAGACACCTTCCTCCCGGGATTTGCAGAGCCCGAAACTGGGGGTGTCTGTGCAGTCCTCCTCCGTGCAGCTCCAACCAGAAACCATGGCTACCACCTGCAAGTTGGAGAGCACACAGGAGAGGCATGGAGGCTGCCAGGGCTCTGGGGGAGAGGCGACACTTGCCGAGAAAAGCACGAGGCCAGCCAGCAGGTGCACTGACGGCCACACTCCAGCCGTGTCCAGGAAGCGCTGCCCGTTCTGTGTGAGGCACCAGGGCCACAACTAAGACTTTACACCCTGATCTAAATGCAGGTCATTTATCCTGCCAACCCCCTTGGGTGCTGTTGTCTCCACTGCGCAGACAGAAGCCTGGGGTGGAGACTCCATGGGAGTTGGGGGCCTCCCGGGCCTCTGTGCCTGTCTGGCGAGGTGGGTCCTGCCCTCTCAGGGTGTGTCCTTTTTCGTAGTCTAATCTCACAGGATGATGCTTCCCCAAGGCCACCCTTCAAGCCCGCTCACCCCAGCCCGGGCTCACTCGTCAGGCTATGGGGGGAAACAGCAGCAAGTGCTCTGGACATGAGGGGCCGTGGACGTGCAGGCCCCTTGCAGGCTGGGACATAGACAGAGGCCAATTCGTTCTGCCTTCCCTAGCTTGTGAACACCTCTTCCCCATTCTGAGTGGGGAATGGGGAATCAGGGGCCTGAGGAAGGGATGGAGGTGTCTGCACTCGAATCTGGAGGGAGACAGGTGAAGCCCACTGTGCAGCCTGAGGGTGCTGGCTCTATCCCTTGCAGTCCTGCTCCTGGTCTACTTTAAGGCCTCTCCTGAAGTTCAGGCTATATTCCCGGCTGTGGTGGCTCAGTGGATTGAGCATCGTCCCATGGACCAAGAGGTCCCAGGTACGATTCCCAGCCAGGGCACATGCCCGGTTGTGGGCTTCATCCCCAGTAGGCGGTGTGCAGGAGGGAGCCAGTCAATGATTCTCTCTCATCATTGATGTTTCTATTCCTCTCTCCCTTCCTCTCTAAAATCAATAAAAACATATTTTTTAAAGTTCAGGGTGCAGCCACATGGCCCAGCACAACAGGTGCCAAACTGGCCATCCCAGGTCAGAGGCGCTGAAAAGCAGTAGTCAGGACAAGACCAGGCTGGCAGGAGGGGGGCTGCTGGGATAGACACCCCCTGCCCCAGGCAGGGCACCAGCTCAGCTCTGCCAGGCCCCAACCGAAGGATCTTGGCAGGCCACCACCTTGGGCTTCCCCTGTTCAGGGGTGAGAACAAGTCTGAGCTAAAGGAAACTCCCTAAGCCCCAGACAGCGCACCTCCCCAAGGTACCCTCTTCCTCACTAGGCCTCAAAAGGAGAGTGAGAAGCTGTTCTGGGTAGGCATGCCACCCACGCCTGCCAGCCCGGATGGATGGATGGATGGGGAGGGGTGGGCGGGCGGGCGTTAGAGCCGCCCTGGAGGCCTTGGTTGGGGGAATGGAAATGTCCCCAGGTCGCGGTTCAGGAACCAGGAAGAGCCCGGCTCTCCAGGTACGCGGGGACCTGCACAGCTCAGCACGGCCTTCGAAACAGGCC